GGGGGGGGGGTACTAATGCATAACTGGGACAAACGGTTGCTTTCAGTCATGTATGACGAAAAAAAGCATTATCAGCCAATTATCGGTTATGGACCAACAGTGTATTATCGGTGCATCCCTATTTTCTACTAGTGAAATGCACGAAGGGCAGAGCACGACCTGCACTCTTTTGTAAGTGTTTTCCAACATTTAAGGAGTAGGTCTCCCAAAAGTAACTTGAGAATGAATTTCCCTGAAATGTACAGATCTTCTAGGAATATGCCTAGCCAAAGTCATTTAGATGTGCAAGAGCAGCATTAAGTGCTACACAAACAATCACACCCTTGCCACTCCAGCTAGGTTTTTCAATGAGAAAGCCACATTTGTTACCCAGATGTGATGGCAGGAGCTAGGTCTCAAAGCATAAGTGTATGCCAGTTTGAAGCAATTTCTTCAATATATGGAATCAACTTCAAGACTCAACTCAACGTGTTCAAGTGTAAATGTTGGTTGTGAAGGTTAAAGAAATATGCAAGAGTTTAAAAGGAAACTGGTTCACAAAAGGTCAAGTTCATAGAAACCTTTGTTAGATCTGTCCTTGAATAGAGGTTTCCAGAATTTAACTGCCTCACTATCGGTTTCACACTCTGTATATCCAACTCAGTTTAGTTAACATTCCTCTTTCACTCAAACAAACCCTTAGCAAGTAGTTGCGAGTACAGCAGAGGGATGGGAAAAGGGTTGTCATAACAGAGTTCCTGTAAGAGTGTGAAATCTGTAGCCTTGGGTTTCTTCATTGGACATGTTCTCACAGTCTCCTGTAAAGGGGAGGAGGGGGGTTTGGGGATCTTTGCGCTCCTATATCAAGTGTATACTCAGGACATGCATGGATGCAGAAAGTATTAAACAGGGCGTCAAGTCTTGGCTCAGATAGTTGAGAATTTGACCCGATAAGCCATGTGGAGGGTTAGAGAAGCTAGTTATGAGTAGCCTGGCAACCTTCAGTTGCAAAATAGTTTTAAAACAGACTTTATTAAAGCTTATTAAGAGGGCAAAATAACATTATATTTAAGTATTAGAGCTAGGAAAGTTGACATTAATTTCTTTAATTAATGTGAACAGTTAACGTGTAAAAAAAAATTTAAATGTTTTACTCCGTTCTTGTGGCTAGTGATATACGCTCATGCTAATTAACCCGCCTACATACCTAATATCATGAATCAAAATACATAACAGAAAACTGGTTGTTTATTATAAACTACTGATACATAATACCATAATTTCACAGTTTTACTTACATATTTGTAAATCATACACAAGTCACTGTTTCCATCCAAAGATGCTA